CTACTGCCAGCAGTTCAATCCTGACCAGCTCAAGGTTGACTCAGCCTTCCGTCCTTCCGAGGTGGGTAAAATGAGGACCAAATTGTTGGGGGGCAATAGGCTGACTCTGTAAACTGCTTAGAGAGAGCTGTAAAATATTTATTTATTTATTTATTTGTTTGGTTGTAAACTTATATACAGATTCACAGTGCTTTCCAGCCCTCTCTAAGCAGTTTAAAATATCAGCCTCTTGCCCCCAACAATCTGGATCCTCATTTTACCCACCTCGGAAGGATGGAAGGCTGAGTCAACCTTGAGCTGGGATGGATGGATGAATGGGTGGGTGGGTGGGTGGGAGGGAGGGAGGGAGGGAGGGAGGTAGGGAAGGAAGGAAGGAAGGAAGGAAGGAAGGAAGGAAGGAAGGAAGGCAGCAATAGCACTTAGACTTATATCCCGCTTCATAGTACTTTACCGCCCTTTCTAAGTGATTTAGAGTCAGCCTTTTGCCTACAACAATCTGGGTCCTCATTTTACTCACATTGGAAGGATGGACAGCTGAGTCAGCCTCAAGCCTATTGAGATTTGAACTGCCAAATTGCAGACAGCCAGCAGTCAGCAGAAGTAGCCTGCAGTACTGCACTCTAACCACTGCACTCTTTAAACTAAAGAGTAGTTGCTATTGCTATTAGGGCCGTGTTGTATCACTCTCTCTCTCTCTCTCTCTCTCTCCTTTTTCTTTCCTTTTTCCTTCCTTCTTCCAGATATGATAGCTGTCCTTGGAGAGACAACGGGTTCGATAGCTTTACAAAATCTCTGGGAACAGATGAAGAGCGACCCAGAAGGAAGGCAGGTCTTGCAGTAAGTGAGTTCCTTTTTTCTTTTAACCTGCAGCCTGGATAAATGAATGATTTTTGAGGAGATAAACCTAAAAAGGCCCCCTGTGCGAATTAGTGAATCCATTTTCACTACAGGTAGTCATTTTTTTTTTTTTGCTTTAACCTGGTTATCGAACGAGCTCGTTTTACAAAAGAATGCCAGCGAAGGTTTGGCTCCTTGACTTACAACAGTTCATTTAGCGAACGTTCAAAGTTACAAAGGCACTAGGGGGAAAAGTGACTTAGGACTGTTTGTCACACTTACGACCATTGTAGCCATTTGGCTACCGACTTATATTTACGACCGGTCCTGGGGTCATGAGATCTATCATTGCGACTATATGACAAGCCAAATCCATCTGGGAGGCCAGATTCACTTAACAACTGGGTTATTAAATGAGCAACTGCAGTGATTCACTAAACCCCTCTGGCAGAGAGGTCACAAAATGGGGGCAAAACTCACTTTAACAAATCTGTGATGACCCAGGATGGGGTACAAAATAAACAGTCACAAAAATAGGTGAAGCCCCTTTTATTCCTTCACTTTTCTTCCAAGCTCCAAATATCCTTCACTGGAGACAAAAAACTCCCACACAAACAGTTACAAGAAGGAGGAAATGCTGTTTAAATTATAAAGAGTAAAAAACAACACAAACCAGGCAAGATAAGGGCTGAAAGACGTCCACAGATATCAGGACACACACTGGGAAGGATGCCAAAGTCAGAGAGGAACAATAAGATAGAGATATTTCCACAGTTTGTTTCCAGCACTCACCAGTACGCATGTCCGTCCTCTTATCCGGTTGTCACAGCTGCAGCCCATGAAGAGGATCAAGGCCCTCTCCTCCCCAGCAGACCACGTCTCTCCCTTATCCTCTCCTCCCCGCATGCCCTAGGATGGATAGGGGATGGGCCTGGGTCCTCCTCTGACTGCTCAGCCAGCCTCTGCCCTTCCCCAGCCTCCTCCACAATCTCCGGAGCCCCACTTCCACTCCCTGTCGGCTGTTCCTCCTCTCCCTCAGAGTCCGTCTCCACCAGGGGCATGACAAAAAATCTCTCAATTGGAACAGAAATATTGGGTTCAATTGTGGTTGTACGTCGAGGACTGTCTTACACCGTTGGGAGCAGAAAGCTGAGGATTTCATTTATAGTTTTTATTTAAAGTGGTATACGTTAGTGGTGCGATGGCAATCAGGAGGCGGTGAGTTCAAACCGAGGTAGAGGCAGATATTTCTCTCTCTCTCTCTTGGGCAGGATGAGAATATACCTGCTGAACAAAACTCTGCCCTGGCAACAGGAAGGGCATCTGGCCAGTAAACACTCAGCTCCATTCAGTTGCCCGGACTCGACCTGGCAAGGGATGATGGGGTCGTTAAATGAGGATGAGGATGATTTAAAATGGAATAGGTCAAAAACCAGCCCAGTAGGAAGTCCCAGCACAACCAAGGCCGCTCTAGTGATATTGGTGGGCTTTGCACCCAACCATTTGTTGAGAAATCCCCCATCGAGCTGGCAGTTTACCAGCTGCCCTAGTTAAGTCTAGAGATCCCAGAAAATTCAGCTGGATCGGGGCCGGTGGATCTCCCCTCCGTGAGATCGATCCATCCCTAAAGATGATGCTCGCGATCCCCTTTCATGAGCTGAGCTGCTGCCTTTCATTCTGTTGGTTTCCTTTGCAGAGAACGGCCTCGGATCCGCCTTTCCACCCTGGATGTGGTTGGACTTCGGGGGCTTCCCGACGGGACCTTCGGCCGAGAATACATTCGTTTTTTGGATAGTAATGTGGGTATCGTGACAGCTTACAAAGAGCGTTTGTCCTGTGATGCATTGTGAATTTCTGTTTTCATCAATGCTAGAAGGGAGGAGGGGGAGGAGGAATGTTGGGGTCTTTGGTCCTGTCTGAGCTGAGTTGTTTTCTTGCAGACATTTCATTACCTAAACTAGGTATCATCGTCAGTGCTAGAAGAAATGGGGGAGTTAGTTCTCTCTCCCTTTTGGCCCGAGTGATGTGACCTAATTGGGTAATGAAACTTCTGCAGGAAAAAAAAAACCCAACTCAGAGAGCACCAGGGATCCCAAAATAAGTACTTTGCATCCTTTTCACATGAAACTTGTTTTTTTGTTTTTTTTTGTAAAAGTTTTATTGATTTTAACAACAAATAAAAACACATAAAACATAAAACATAACATAAGAACATCATCATTCTTCATAAATTTACAGACAGTGTATCGGTTGGTTTACCACTCCTTTTTGTGCATCCATTTCGTAGTCATCATAATAATTATGTTACATAATAACTCATATTATCAATCAACAATTATATATCCTAATATCATTATTAAACAATCATTTGACTATAATTTTACTAATTCATACTTAAGCGAGATAACTATAATTTAGTTAATTTATTTTATAACAAATCGTAAAATCATACCAAATCTATCTTAATAAAATATTCTAAAAATATTATCAAAACCAAAAATATATATATATATTCATTGTTTCCTAGGTTTCTAAATATTCTATTATTAGAATAATAGTGTGGTGGTTTCATCTGATGGTGATTAAAATCAAAATGTGTGGGAATCATTGCCTTGATGGGAAATTTCCATTCAGAACCACTAGATGGCACTGCAACCCCACATTTGAAAAATGAGCCACTGGTAGCCAAAAAAAAAAAAAAAGAACAGACTAGCAGAGTTGGATAGAAACTTGAAGGTCTTCTAGTCCAGCAGTCGCCAGCTGGTGGGCTGCGAGAAAATTTTGGTGGGCTGCAGAGAAATCTCACCCCCAGAGCACACCCCCAAAGCAATTAATCCAGGCTGCGCCATCCACATGGCCCGCGGGAACCCTCCCCGCCCACTTACTCCTTACCCGGCAAACTTGCCTGCTAAAATTGCTATTTTTTCCTTTTTCCGACCGTCAGCTGTTCTGCTGTGCCGGGAGATTTAGATTAGCTAGAAAGCAGGAAATGGTTGGATTTCTTGCTTTCTAGCTAATCTTCAGATCTTCGGCTCTGCTTTTAAGCAGAGCCAAACCTTCCTTAGAACTGAAGCTTCTATTATTCAGTGCAGACTCAGGTAGCCGATGCCAGAAAGATAGATCTCTGAATGAATCTGTGATTCTGCGAGCAACTCAATCTGCCTGCCTGCTTTGCCTGATTTTGGGTAAAAGTTGCTCTTTTTTTTAATAAAAAAAAATTCAATATTTATATAAATATTTATAATATTTACATACAAGCCATGCCCAGCCAGTCACATGACCACTAAGCCACACTCACAAATTAGGCCATGCCCACAGAACCGGCTAGTGGTCCCTGGGATTTAAAATTATGAGTTTGGTGGTCCCTGAGGTCCAAAAGGTTGGTGACCCCTGTTCTAGACCAACCTTCTGCTCTACCATTCCAGACAAATGGATGTCCAATCTCTCCTTTAAAACCTCCATTGATGAAGCACCCACAACTTCTGAAGGCAAGTTTTTTTGTCTCCAGTCAAGGATATTTGGAGCTTTGAAGCCAAGCTGAAGGAATTAAAGGGACTTCACCTGTTTTTTTTGTGACTTTATTGCTTTTGTATCCCACCCTGGGTCGTCACATTTCCCTATCTAGGAAATTAATAGTTGCTTTTCTATTTTTTTTTAAATTTCCCAACGGGCAGAGGGTTTCTCCAGACACAAGGATGCCAGCCCGGTTCATAGACAACGAAGACCTGGCCTACGTCATCCAGCGTTACCGGGAAGTCCACGACCTGCTACACACCCTCCTTGGCATGCCCACCAACATGCTTGGTGAGTTGTCTTTTAACTAACAGCTGGCGGGGGGCAGGGGGTTACGTCTTGCGGTCTTCACTCCGCGAGGGATTCGGGGAGGCCTGAGCCGCAGGGCACGAGAAGCGGGAGCGCCTGCGAAAGGACCGAAAGGGAAAATAAGTTCAGGTTCAGGACTTGGATTAAAATACTCAGGGTGGTGTCGGTTTTCATTTGCACAAGGAGGAAGGGCTTTTCAGACAAGGGTTTTGTTGTGTCCCTGGCTCTGGAAACGCCAGTAGTCTGTCTTCTAAACACATGTGAGGTTCTATTTTTCCCAATTCTTATCAAAATCTTTGGATCCCCACAGTTCTTTTTCTTCCCTTTCTCCTTTTCCTTTCATTTCCTTTCTCTCATTTCCAAATCCTTCCTTCCTTCCTTCTTTCTTTCTCTTTTCTTTCATTTTTTTCCTTTCCTTTCTTTTCCTTCCACTCATTTCCTTTCCTTCTTTC